TCTGAAGGATCATGTGACACTGAAGACTGGAGTAATGATGCTAAAAATTTAAGCTTTGTAATCACAGGAATAAATAACATTTTATAATATATTAAAATAGAAAACAATTATTTTAAATTGTAATAATATTTCACAATGTTACTACTGTTTTTTTCTGTATTTTGATCAAATAAATGCAGCTTTGGTGAGCATAAGAGACACCAACCCCAAACTTTTGAATATATTATGGGTTATATAGATGGATGAATGAATAAATGGATGGATGGAGATCACGGATAGTTAAATGCCATAGTTAAATAACAGTCATGTTAACATTGTTAATTGTCTCTCTCTCTCTCTCTCTCTCTCTCTCTTTCTCTCAGGTGAGCACCTGCGGGTTTGTTCTCAGGGTTACACCTGCTGCACGTCTGGGATGGAGGAGAACCTCCTGAACCTGAGCCGACGAGAGTTTGAGACTCAGGTGAAGGAGTCTGGACGCACCTTACAGGCCTCGCTCAACGGCCAGTTCAAGAGCTTTGACGGTGAGTTACACCTGAGTAACATCACATGATCACGATATCTTTCCATCACACAGCTCACGATATTGAGATGAATCGGTCTGCTGGACTTAAGCTTGTTGAGAAACTGATGGTTTGTTTGTCTGTACAGACCTGTGCTTGATATCTCAGAGCAGCGCTGATAAAACCTCCTAACGATGTTAGACAGATGGTCTCTCTGTATGTGTGTGTGTGTGTGTGTGTGTGTGTGTAGTACCATTGTGGATTCCTCACTCACACTCAAGCCTGTGAGTGTGAATGTTATTCACATCATTCACCTGAATGATTGTGTTTGGAAAAACAGAGATCGAGCCATATAAGCAAATGTTTTGACAGCATCACACTTACACTTGTCTTACAATAATGTGTATAATGTCTGAATATATATACATTTCTCTGGCTTCATAATCTTATCCTTCTCTCTCACTCTGTGTAGGCGTTTTAATCAGTGTTTTTGCTTTTTGTGTAGAATGGTGTGTGAGGGTGTGATTTGTTTTGATTAGTTCTGTCTGTTGGGAACAAACAACTTCTCAATGACATCAAATCAGGCTTTACAAATTACATGCATTAAATGTGTGTTTTGCTGCTTTGGATGGGTGAATCTTAAAAAAAAAAAACGTTTTGCTTGAAGAAATTGAAGCTTATTTTTTAGGACCATTAAGATTTTATTTGCATAGTGACATTATTTTCATTTAAGCACATTTTCCTCGTAAATTTACATTAAAATAAAGAAATAAAAATGTCCTTCTCGTTATTGTGATACAGTAATAAAATAATTTTAAAATAATATTAATAGAAAATAATGATAATACAATCAAAGGCATTGCAATGATACTACGGTACTGTGGTGTACATTATACTTACTATACATGGGCATTTCAATAAATATTAAATAAATTACATTAAAATAATAATGCAAAAAGAAAATAATTTCAAAAATGTGCTTGATGTTTTGACGCAAAATTTTATTTAATAATAATAATGTTTTATTTTTAAATAATTTATTTTTACCATTAAATAATAAAAATAGCAATCCAACAACAACACCGACATCATCAATAATATTTATTATTGTGTTTTTATTATTATAAACAAAAGTAGTGCAAAATAAAATTGGAAAAAGTTTAAATAGAAACAGTTTTTTTAAAATTGATGCAAGGAATATTATTGTTGTTATTATTATTAGCTTTATTGTTAATAATAATAATAATAATAATAATAATGCTTTTTCCTCCCTTAATGCAACTATTTATTTATTTATTTATTTATTTTTATTTTATTTTTATATATATATAACTGGGACAGTTCTTGACATTGAGAGGTATAATAAAAATCAATGGTTAAAATGATTCTTGCTTTCAAAAGGGGGTTTGGGTGGGCCTGGCAATCTAATCATGAGCTTGATCAAATGTAGCAGTTGATTAATTTTATTGTTGGACAAGCAGAACATTTCATATGAAAAGTAGACTAGAGAACAGGCAGAATATATAGCACCTTTTAAAGCTTTTATGAAGTCTATAATTGTTGAATTTGAATTCAATTCAATTCAAGTTTATTTGTATAGCGCTTTTCACGATACAAATCGTTGCAAAGCAACTTTACAGCAAATTAGGTTTCTACAATATTTAGTAGTAGCTTATCAGTGGTGACTGTCAGTTAATGTACATATGGCAGAAATGTACGGAAAAATCAATTAAAGACGTAATCAAACAGACGATGAACACTATTAACAGCAATTGTTATATGATGCAATCAAACTTATAGCAAAATGTGGTAGTTCTGTATGTTGTTTCAGGGTTGGCATCATCTGAGGTTCTCTGAGGGGTTGGCATCATCTCTTCTCAGGTGTTCTGGATCCAGACTGAAGCTTGTGTAAATCCTAGTTATCAATTTGAAGGGTACAAACGAATGAAATTTCTCTCGATTTTGTACAGATGGTGACTTTGCTACTTAAAGTTGGAAAAAGTCAGTGTCTCTGTCGTTCTGGAGTTCATAAGTGCCAATTTAGGGTTTTAAAACATGTCTGTGCCAGCTCACATCCAGGAGTCCTGAGTATGTGTATGTGTGTGTGTGCGTGTGTGTGTGTGTGTGTGTGTGTCTGTACAAACACACTCGCTCACACACACATAATATGGTGTGTTTGTGGTGAGAATGCTTGAACTGTGATTATTTCCGAAGTGTTGTGGCACAGGGAGAAAATCTGGTCAGTGTGTATTTCCCAGCATGAATTATGCTTGGAACAGTAAGCAGCTTTGGTGGATTTATACCCAGGGTGTGTGTGTGTGTGGTTTTGTGTGAGTGCGTGTGTGTGTACATGTTTTTCTATCCCGGTGGGGACTTAAACCTGAATACACACCGACTCATGGGGACTCGTGTCACCTTGGGGACCTAAATTGAGGTCCCCATGGGGAAACAAGTGATATAAATAATACAGAATGAGTTTTTTTGAGAATGTAAAAATGCCTGTAGTTTTCTGTGAGGGATAGTTTTAGGTGTAGGGCGATAGAATATACGATTTGTACAGTATAAAACCTATTACGCCTATATGCAGAGTCCCCACAAGGATAGTAAACCAAACGTGTGTGTGTGTGTGTGTGTGTGTGCAGCTATTTATGTAAGATTTTAAATACTAAAGGCATTAACAGTGCAATATATGACAATATTTCTTACTAATAAAACAGCCTCTCTAAATCATGTGTGCTGTCATAGACATGGACATTTGTTTCCAGTTCTCGCCCTTATTATCTGGAAAAGAGATAACTTTACAGCAAATTGAGGCTAAGACTCTCAAAACATAAATCTCAGAGGCTGTTGTCATTTCTACATTGATTTCAAGTTCTCCTTCATTCTTTCTCTCACATTTTTCTAGTTTCAGTGTAATAGCTTCATAAAAAAAGAATTTAGAAGAGGAAATTGGCAGTGAAGAGTGGTGTAGAGTTTGTAATCTCTTGAGTGTAATCTGTCTATCCGTCCGTCCGTCCATCCATCCATCCTGTTGTTCATTCTATCATTCTGTCTGTCATCCACCTATGATAAGTCATGTAATCTTGTACACCACTTCTCCTCCTCTTTTACAGTCTGTGTAATTGGTTCTGTCCTCAGATGTGTCTTCGATTTGGATTTATGTTCTATGTGTTGAAAGGTTTGTCTCTAGGAAAGTTTATTTTGTCTTCCTAGAATTACAGCTAAAAGTATACTAGAGCATAATGAGCTGTTATGTGTCTGTTTTAGGAGGTTAAGTATGGCTGTTGATGTGTTTTCATTGTGCGTGCGTGTGTGTGTGTTGAGAACTGGATTCTCTGTAAGGTTGAGGAGATTCTCAGTGTTTGGGAATTCATAAGGAGCAGCTTTTTTCGCTGTAGGGTATAATTTCTGAACGAATCAAACATCTGGCCACATTTACTGTAGATATAAAGCTAAACAGCATTGGTAGAAAAAGACTTTCGAAAGATGATCAAATTCAAGTTTCAGACCAGAAGATTAACGCATCTGTGTTAAAGGCAACAGATTTCATCAAACCGCAGCATAGAAGATAATAAATCTCTTTTATCAGATCACATTGTTCAATTTATGACGTTCACAAGTGCCTTTGTCTGAATCACTAAAGATTAATTGGTGATATTTTCTTAGCCGAATACATTTATTATAGTCCTGATTTTGAGGCTGAATAGCAGTTAAGCAGTTCAAGTGCTGATATATTGAAAGACTATTTTCAATTACACTGAGTCATCCAGGAAAAAATGTCCTGTTGGAGGTCATCTCCGACGATATCATCTGCGACAAGGGCAGCTGCTCTGTCGTGTGTCCTCATAGGTCGTTTCATGTTGACACGCTAATCACGTTGAGGAAGACCTACGGTGACACAGACCTATGATCCCAGAGACATTTCTCTCTATCTCTCTCTCCCTCACACACACTAGCAGAGTTTTATGAGGAAGTGACTGCCATTTTTATGTCATGATTCTGTTTTCGCTCTTGTTTCTACTCCTTTATTTTCCGGAATGCTGTGTATGCTTTTTTTTTTGTGTGCAGACATGGATAGTCTTTCTGTTGACTGAAGACATAAAATACTAAAATACGTTTTTTTTATTTTAATTTTTTGGTACGCCAACCCTCTATTACCCTTACTGCTTTACTGAATCTCTCTCTATATATTAATCCACTACCATTTAAATATAAGTGACATTTTTAAATGGTTTTGAAATACATTTCTTATGCTCACCAATGTAACATTTATTTAATTAAAAATACAGTAAAATAGTAATTTTAATTGTATTGTATTGTATTGTAAATTGTAATTTATTCCTGTGATGCAATGCGAAATTTTCAATTATTTATTTATTTTTTAAAGACCACAAAAACCACATTTGTTGATAGATAAATAAATAAGTAAAAAATTAAGTCGCATATAATGTGTGTAATATAGTGTATAGTGTAATGCAATTGTATTATCTTATTCACTGTTTAACTATGTTTATGCTCATTTGAACACGACTGCTTAGTTGTTGTATTTGGACCAAATTTGCTCACAACAATAGTGAAATAAAACAATAAACCTTAAGAGGAAACCATATAAACATTAATAAACTAAAATGTTTGTGTGAGAGTTAAATTTGGTGTAATCGATAGACAGTATCATTAACATGGTTTGAACATAATAGAACTCAATGAAAAGTCCGTATGAAGATAAAAAAAATAAATGTATGTACAGGATTGGTATACTTGTGAAGGTCAAACTTCATGAAAATGTCTTCAAAAATTCAAAATGACATGTGAAGTGGTGCTCTCTGTTGAAAAATCTTATAAAATGGTCAATATAAATTGGCCAAATGCTTTAAGCTGAATAGATGTAATGTCTACAAGGGACAAAACCAAACAGTTTCGGTTCCCTTTGACTTCCACTGCATTTTTGTCAATACAATGGAAGTCAATGGGAACTGAAACTGTTTAATTACCAACATTCTTTGTATTCATATGTCTTTCAAATATTTTGTGTGTGTGTGTGTGTGTCCTGGTTCCCTATGTTATGGGGACCAAATGTCCCCACAAGGATAGTAATACCAGTAAATTTGGACCTTGTGGGGAAATTTTTTGGTCCCTATGTGGAAACAAGATTATAAATCATACAGAATTAAGTTTTTTGAAAATCTAAAAATGCAGAAAGTTTTGTGTGAGAGGTAGGTTTAGGTGTAGGGTTAGGGGATAGAAAATACAGTTTGTACAGTATAAACACCATTACGTCTTTGGAATGTCCCCATAATGATAGGAATATCAGTGTGTGTGTGTGTGTGTGTGTGTGTGTGTGTGTTCCACAGAACAAAGAAACTCGTACAGGTTTGGTACAACATGAAGCTGAGTAAATAATAACACTACAGAATTTTCATTTTTGTGTGAACTGTCCCTTTAAGGCTCATTCACACCAAGGACAACAAGAACGATAACAACACAAAGGAAAAATATAATTGGAATCACTTTCAGAACAATTTTTTCCAGATATTGAACAATAGCATCATTTACAGCCAAGCAGAATCCACCCAACTTTTAACAGCTTGAGCATTTAATGCGGCAGACCAAAAACTGCAGCACCCTCTTACAATAAACAATAAACGAATATAGTTATGGTTATAGTTATTGTTCCTGTTGTGAACTGGCCGGCTAGCAGAATATCATAATCTTTGTTTGGAAAATATGACGTCTTAGAATGGTCCTTACTAATAGAGCTTCAAATTTCTGTGTGTGCGTGCATTCATTTAAAATATTGAATAAAATGAGGGAAGGCTGGCACTCCTTTAATTCAGTCATTCAGCACATTGTCAGAATGCACAAATGCAATTACATGTAATCACATTCAAATCCCTCTCTTCTTTCATCCCTTTCTCTCTCTTCTCTCCTCTCATTCCATCACTCTGTGGTCCCCAGCTGCTTGTCTCTCCATCACGGGCTCGGCCGCAAATTAACAGCCCGGCGTGTTCTGTTACGATGCCGCTGATATTCTCCTTGTAATACCTATGTCATACCCTTGTCATTATACAAATTTATGTCCTCATTTGTCACAAAAACGCGCACACGCGCACACACACACACACACATGTCTGGTCATCTGTAATGTATTCCAATATTGAAAGCAGTTTTAGCTGCTTTATTTATTTATTTAATTTAATTTAAATTTTCTTTCTTTTTTGTGGAAATCATTATACTTTTTTCAGGATTCTTTGATGAATATATAATTTAAAAGAACAGCATTTATTTTAAATATATATCTTTTATAAAAACATAAATGTCTTTACTGTTACTTTTGATCAATATAATGCAGTGTTTCTCAAACTTTTTTGGTCACACCTCCCTTTAAACCTTTAAACCCTTCTGGCACCCATTAAAATAATAAGCCATTAAAATAATCAATATTGATATGAGTCATTACTTACTTTTACATTTTAAGTTGAATTTAACTGAACACATATTAATGTGGGAGGAACAATGAGACATTGAACTTTAGCTGTTTAAAGTGAAATTAATTATATTGTTTTACTTTTCACTTTTTTTTTTTAATTGTTTGAGATCAAAACTATTGTTATGCCCCTAGAAAGAAAAAAATACACAAAGCCTGTAAGATTTGCGCCCTACAGGCTGTCATGTTGTGAATCAGGAGTTTGCAGACCCTAAAAACCTGCGTTCAGAGTGAAGACAGATTCATCTGGGTCAGTGATAGTAGCACACTTTGGAGAGGCTTTTATTGAAATAAAAATATGAGACGTGAGAAAAGAGTCCATTGAAGCATGAAGAGATAAAATGGATGTGGGGTCCTCATAATGTAGTTGGATGTGAATGTGATGAGATTTAGACAAGAGTCCAGTAACAATCATTTCATCAAAAAAGTGCAGATGGAAAAACCAATGGCCAGTGAACTGCTTAATATAAATGTTTTGAAATGCTTAATCAAGTCTGTGTGCATTATGCTTTATGTATCATTTGTTTGGCCATTTCAAAAGCATGATTAATGTGAACTTAATCAGATGTAGGGCACAAAAATGTATTATTTACAGCACACTGCTCTGTATTTCATCATGAATGTATTAGTACAGACATAATCCCATTGGTTTGGAGAAGCGGTGTAGGTTTTAGAAAGATTAATTTTGACCTGGTTTGGGTTCACCGTTATGATTTGTTGTGCTTCTGGTGTGTTTGTGTGTGTTATAAATGTACAGACCCATGGCTGAATTTATACACTCTTATATCCACTTTCTTTCTGTACTTGAACAGTCTCTCGTGGGTAATGTGGGATTGATTGATGTGTGACCGGGTTATTGGGAGCTCATGATATCACTGTATTACATAACACAATTCATACTGATCGACTTTCTCTCTGAACATTTTTGCATTTGTGTGTGTGTGTGTGTGTGTGTGTGTGTGTGTCTGTGTCTGTGTCTGTGTCTGTGTGTGTGTTGTTTGTGTGTGTGTGTGTGTGAAAAAACAAATTCAAATTTCTCTCATTGCTTTTCATTGTGATAGTACACAAACTACACAACTGACTATTGTCTAGCTATTTGTTTTATCTATACATCCAAATCAGATTTATTACAATTGTAAAGAATTATATTCTGAGTTGTTTGGTAAGGAAGCTTGTTTCTGCCACGGGATTAATAAAAAAATAAAAAAGGTAATTGTGACTTTTTATCTTACGATTCAGACTTTATTATTGGAATTCTTAGAAAAAAAGAAAGAATTGCTAGATAAACTCACTATTCCAAGAAAGAAAATGAAAAAATAAAAAAAACGAAAAAGTCACAATTATCTCATTTTTTTAGTCGCAATTAGTCACTGTTTTTTTTTCTTAGAGATAAATTGAGCTAAAAAGTTTAATTACCTTTTTTTTCTGTGGCAGAAGCGGGCTTCCATAGTTTGACTTTTAATTTTTAAAATGTTGCATAGTATGAAGCTGTTTTTGCACTGATGTCAGACTTGTTCATTTGTTATTAATAATCTGGGTACATTCATCAAGTTTCCAATAAAAAAAGGAAATAATCAAATGAGATGAAGTACATGACATTCGTAAAATATTTAATTCAAAAATAGACAATACTGCATGCTTTTGTAATCTTTTTGTTTTTGTGTACATGTTCATATTATTTGTTGTACTTAAATATAAATCTATCTATTAATAATTTTTGTAAAGGACAAAACAATTTAAAATAGAAATAAATAAAGAAATATATATTTTTATGTGATATATATAATATATATTATTATATATATATAAGTTTTATATGTAATTCTTGAATGGCCCGGCCAGAGCCCTGACTTAAACCCAATTGAGCATCTCTGGAGAGACCTAAAAATGGCTGTCCACCAACGTTTACCGTCCAACCTGACAGAACTGGAGAGGATTTGCAAGGAGGAATGGCAGAGGATCCCCAAATCCATGTGTGAAAAACTTGTTGCATCTTTCCTAAAAAGACTCATGGCTGTATTAGATCAAATGGGTGCTTCTACTAAATACTGAGCATTTTTCAGTTTTTCTTTTTTAATAAATCTGCAAAGATGTCAACAATTCTGTGTTTTTCTGTCAATATGGCTGGCTGTGTGTACATTAATGAGGAAAAAAAATTAACTTAAATGATTTTAGCAAATGGCTGCAATATAACAAAGAGTGAAAAATTTAAGGGGGTCTGAATACTTTCCGTACCCACTGTATATAATATATATTATTATATATATATAAGTTTTATATGTAAAATATTGGTCACCTCATTGATTCAGGATAATGTTTTTTTTTAAATTAGGAGTGTTAGCCTTGAGCTTTCCAAACTTGAAGAGCTGCTCTAATGATGTTCTTGCGTGTGTGTTTCCAGATTATTTCTTGGAGCTGTTGAACCGTTCTGAAGCATCACTCCAAACCTCTTTCCAGGCCGGGTTTGGCTCTCTCTTCTCCCAAACCGCAAAGGTGTTTCAGGATCTGTACTCCGACCTTCGGCACTACTATCGTGGGTCCAACGTCAATCTCGAGGAGGCCCTGAATGAATTCTGGGCCCGTCTGCTGGAAAGACTCTTTAAAGCTTTAAACACTCAGTACATTATTGGAGAGGAGTATCTGGAGTGCGTAGCCAAGCAATCAGAAACACTGAAGCCGTTGGGAGACACGCCGAGAGAGCTCAAGACCAAAATCACACGCACGGTTATTGCAGCCAGAACGTTTGCGCAGGGTCTGGTGATCAGCGGCGAAGCCGTCCGGAAGGTTTCACAGGTAGGTGAACTTCCACTCTCTGTGTCTTCTCGTGTTTCCATAATGTTTTGTCCCAACAAGCCAAGACCTCAATGTACATGAAGACATTTTGTCAAGCTTTTTTTTTTTTTTCACAGCCTCTGGTCACTGCTTCTACTTTTAATAACAGCATACAAGTTTGGAATGGCATGAGGTTGCCTAAATAATCATAACATTTGCATTTTGGTGTGAGCTATGCCTTTGAACATAAACTATGTTGTGATTTGCTGTGATTTCTTCACTTTACACAGCATTTCAGCTTTCATGGAGGACAGAAAAATGTCTTGACGCTGAAAAAGTTGTCCTTCACCTGGTTAGATATTTCAGAGACATTTCCTTCTCAGTATTCATTGCATTCATAATTCATACCTGTGGCAATGTACAAACCCAATACCTCCTACTAGAGCCAAGACACAAACAGACACACAAACGCAGGTGCATGTTGAAGCGTCGCGGTAAAAAGTGTAGGATCAATGCATTAGGAAACAAGACGCAATGAATATCCCTGAGTCTTCGGCAATCGATGTACATATAAACACACACCCACACACTGACACAACTATAATTAGTTATAGTCGTGTCTATCCAATTAATGCTGACATTAGACAGACATGCTCTCAGTGTAAAGCACAGCTGCCGCCTTTATAGGTTCATCCTAACTGCACATTTAGCTCTTGTAAAGACCGTTCATAGTTGTTTGAAATCCTTGGATTGGATTGGTTCAACAACAGTTGCCGATTAATAAAATGTAGTTAACTATCTCAGATCTTTTCAAATATATGATTAAATGAGTTTATAGATATGAGTTATTGTGTATGGCACACAAACAATCAGATTATGATCTCAATTTTTTTTTTTTACAGTAGTAAAAGATATCATTCTGGGTAAGGCTTTCTCATTCTGTCCCTTGAAACTTCTGTTAGAAAGAAATACTTCACCCAAAAATGAGCAATCTGTCATTATTTACTCACTATCATTTTGTCCAAACCCGAGGTAAGTGTTCCAAACCATGTTGAACCATGCTGCTTGTTTCCATTCAAGGAAAATTGAGAGTCAGTCATACAGTTCCACAAAGACTTAAATACATATTACATTCTCACTGATAAAGAATAGATCTTTGATTTCTTTTTGTTGTTGTTGTCCACTCTGTTTCATGTGTTGTTTACTTCTCATTCTTTTCCTCTGCTTTTCTTCTCCTCTTCTCAATTCTCTTCTCTCCTGAAATCTAAATGAGTAGTGAAGGGAACGTAACTCGGTGTCTGACCTCTTCAAAGTAAGTCAAGGTTGACAACACAGAGAAACTGCCAGCACTGCATATTGAAAAGGGCAATGTATGCGTGTGTGTGTATGAACTGAGGTGGGGGAAATGATTGATTTGCCAGTTCCGGTCTGTTTTGTCCGACCAAGAAATGTCTTTTAACCCCATCACGTAAGAGGGAAAGAATAATTCCAAAACCTAGTGAGCTGCCCACCATTCTAAGACATGTATGTCAAGTTAAGTCAAGTCACCTTTATTTATATAATGCTTTATACAATCCAGTTTGTCAAAGCAGCTTTAAATTGTTAAACAGGAAAATAATGTTTCAGTGATGCAAACAAAATTCAATTGTGCTGTAAAGCAGCTCTAAAACGAGGACAATAAACAGTACTAAGTTCTTCCCTCATCCTGATTTAATTAAATTTGTACAATTAGTATTAATATAATGTGGCCACAATTTGCTAAAACAAGGCAACATTTTAGTATGATGCGGGCACAATTTACTAAAACGAGAGAACAAATTAGTACAGAAGTGGCCACAATTTACTGTACTAAAGCGAGGGTTACGGTGCAATGCCAATGGCAATTAAAACCAGGGAACAGTATGTTAATAAAAAATACAGTATATTTCTTATCACTCCCACCTTGTGTTCCATCGTGAACACGAGCTTGGTGCAATGCATTCTGGGATTTTCTGGTGTACTATTTTATCGGTGTATGACATCAAAGTACCGTGAGAGCTATAGAGAGCAGACGCTCCTTATGCTTTCGAATCGCTCTCGCGGTACTTTGATGTCATACACCGATCGGTCTGCGCAGCACCGCTTCAAGTCGAACACACCTAATATGTACCTGTATTTGCATCGCTTTGACTATTCTCTGTAGATCCCACCTTCTCACGCGCCACGGTCGGTCGATTATGTACAATGCCTGAATGTTATTGGCCAAACTACTTTTCGATCATTACCTTCAGCAATTATGAAAACAAGAAAACGAAGCAAAAACCTGGATATTTTAGGCAATAAAGAAATCCTGGCCAGGACGTGTCTGGGAAAAAGGTCACTCTATTTTATAATAGAAAGTTGAGCTCTAGTAGTGTTGTTTTTCTCTTATATATTCTTCCATCCTCTTTCTGTTAAATAATCAGTCTTTCATTCAGTTCTGTTCTGAACTCATCATTTATTCATTCATCATGTTCACCAATTCCTTTAATGGATTGTTCCGGGTTCAAAGCAAGTTAAGCTGCATCAACAGCAATTGTGGCATAATGTCGATTACCATAGAAATGAATTTAGACTCATCCCTCAGTGTTTTTTTTAAGCAACAATCATGGTTATAGTAACACACTTACAATAGAAGTGAAATAAAATCTAAATTATGTGTTTTGAGGTGGGAGTACTTTTATTAGGTGAATGATTGTCTGGTTACTGACATAATAATTCCTGTGGATGGAGTTTGCTTCACCAAAAACTGTTTTTAAGATTACATGAACTTTGAAAGGACTAAAAACAGTACAGCAAAACGAGTGTGAAGCTTTGAATCAGTTTTTTAGTGTTATTTATGTACTATTATAGTTTTTATTAATAATTTTAATTAGCTTTTATTTTTAGATTTTCAGTTTTCATTAAAATTTTAGTATTTTGTTATGTGCTTTTGTCATTTTTATTAGTTTTTGTTATATTTATATTACTATTTAGGTTTCATTTTTATTTTTTAGTTTAGTTTCAGTTTTTGTCAAGTTATTTTTTGCCAAGGCAAATTTTACTTTAGTTTAAATTTTACATCTAATATTTATATATTATTTCATTTCAACTAATTTCAGTTAACAATAATGTTTGTAATAGTTTTAGTTTCTGACTTCAGTAGTATTTTTATTTTTTTTACAAACTTATGGAAATCAGTGGGGACCAGCAACTGTTTTGTTACCCACATTCTTCAAAATATCTTTTTTTATGTTCAACAGAAGATATAAACTCATGACGATTTGGAACAACTTGAGGGTGAGTAAATGATGAGAGAATTTTCATTTTTGGTGGTCAATTGATCTAAAAATGTCTGCCGCAAAGAGGCGACCTACTCCATGTAAAATATAACAGCTTTTGTTAGGCTACTGAAATTATCTTTATACCACCAAATGCATAACTTGTAACTTGTTTGGGGTCATTCAGGTTGACTACACAAAGATCAAAAAGGAAGAAAGAATTTTAGAGGAAAGAAAGCAAAAGAACAAGTATTATGAGTATTAGCGAGTATTAGCCCCAAATAAAAGAAGGAAATGAAAGAATAAAAGAGAAGCACAGCTGGTCTTCCCTTCTTTCCTCTCTAGTCGTTCCTGCATTTTATCCATTTTTATTAAGGACGACGTGTGCTCCCTGTGACTTCAGAAGTAGGCCAGTCGCCTCACATCTTTCTCATATTTCTTTCTAATTACTAAAGAGAAGATCGTCTGTAAAGAGAGCACATCTAGATTGCACTGTGACCCCAACCAAATACACACATCCCTCATCAGACTTGCCATTTAAGGACAGAAGAACAAGTAGAGCCTTATAAATCAGATGACGGACGGGAAGACATTGGCAAGAACTTTAAGCATATGTTAATGAATGAATAAATCAAGCAAAAGTGGAAACTCTTTTTTTAAAATACCATGGTATTACGTTAAAAATCCTGTAAATGTATTTTTGGTGGTAATACCATGGTATTCTTGGAAGTGCATTACAGTACAATGTTTACCCTTGCAAAAAAAAAATGCAGGGTGGTGGTATAATGGCATAGGGATGGTATCAGATGTCAATACCATGGTCATTTGAAATATACCATGGTACTAAATGAACGTATTACATGGTATTAGAATAGTACTCCGTTCTGTTTCCAAGAAAACCATGTTCCTCCCATGGTTCATGTTTGAAAAAACGTGGTAGTACTATGGCTTATTTGGTAATTTGTGAATGCCATCTTATGTTGATATGAAGTACTAAATCATTTGCATATGGTAATCAAACAGCAATAATTAGCAAATGTCTGTTGAATGGATTATGCTGCTGTAGTAGGGCTTTTGTTGGATAAGATGAGCCTTGGCTAAAGAGCTGTTATGTGTGAGCCAGGACAAGGAGGAGCGAGAATCCGAGTGCAAGCACAAAAGTTTATTAAAACACAAATACAGATAATCCAAGCCAAGAACCAGGGTGCAATCCACATAGGGGAATCAGGAACATAATCCACATAGAGAAAGCAAGAGAGCATCAACTGGGAACACGTATACAGGAACAATGACCGACAAACAACAACTGAAGCACAGACCTTAACAAGCTAATGACACACAGGTGGGAGTAATCAAAACAATGAGTCCAGGCAAAGGTTTATGGGAAATGTAGTTTGTGATGGAATGGCAAAGTAGTAGTAAGAAGTACCCCATGGTGGAGCTCACAGGCACTCCAGTTGGTGATCGTGACACTAGCAGACGAACGCAGCGGACCTCACAGGACCAGGCCTTCTGCTTTTGAACACAGATCCATCACAGCTTGGAATGTGGAAACAAGGCATTATGACGCAATTGTTTTGGCTTTTAGGGTCCATTGAATGCAGAAAGTAATGAGAGAATGGCTCAGACAATGTCAGTTGTGATGTGTGTGTTAACATTGCTAATTTCACTACAAAAAAAGCATTTAAGCATCATTACTTCAGAGAATAGTATTCACAAGTTTGGGGTCAGTTTTTTTATTGT